AAAAGTATGCCTGCAGCCACAGCAAAAAATTGCATGCATAGCTCGACTACCGTGCTGCTGTGTTCTTACTACAGACCAACTGGATGGGATACTTCCTGCCACGGCTAACCATACTACAACGCAATGTAAACATCCGTTCTTGTGTCGTGCGGCTGCTTCGTGTATCGACGACAGATACACACGCAGGGCTCTCGCGACGTTGTCGTTATTGCGCGGGAGGACCCCCCCGAGATCTTCCACATATATGGTGCTCCGACGACGGCAGTACTACTGTGCATAGATGTTGTAGGAGAGTGGAGTTGTGCTGTCACGGCATCTTTACCGCACTCTCCTACCGGTGCTTGCGTCATGCAGTATTCTACGCCGGAAGACGAGAGTGGTTTGGGTTCCCGTGTTGGTTGTGCAGCAAACGTGCCTGCAACAACAGAGGATACGGTGTTCTATTTATTATTATCCCGCTCACCTTTTTTTTTTTTTTTTGCGACATGATGCCAATTTTTTTTTTCTGAATATGACACAACGAATCCATCTCTGTCATAGGTAAGAGTCAGAGTCAGATTAGCAATGAATTCATAGCGTCAGAAAAAGCTACCTGTATGTCTACGATTTCCCAGACAGCATATAGGGACATATATCCCCTGCGGCATTTTTCCATTGTCCTTTGGCACTGCCAAGAAGACGGCCGTATCTTTACGCAGTCCAACTTTTGCTTTTATAATTTTACATCGAACGACGGGGGGCGGGTCGCGACCTTCATCATGCCCACCTGCGACTATCGTATCGACGAGACGCCCACTGATCATGGTCGTAAGAGTGTGGAGTTAGCTGTGTTGTGACGGTATTTTCTACGCCCTACCCCGTCCGGTACATACAGCGGCGACTACGCAAGCAAGTGTCCGTGCAACAACGACAAAAAAAAAACGCGTCCATGCATATGTAGATAAGTCGATATATATATCTGTTTTTGCTTCACAGCAGGACAACTTCAGGTTGACATTTTTGTTTGACACCACCGGAGGCCGGTGGATCTTTACGAAGTCCATGTTCCGTTATATATTTTTTAACGATTTTACCCCGGAGACGCAGGAAAGGATAAAATGAATGGCAACATGTACCACTTCGTGACGTCACATAGATAGGATGACGTAAGAAAAGTTTAAAAAAGAAGAATACGGTAACCTGTGGTCTATTTCACATTAAATTTGTTAGTACACGCCGGACTTCTTCCACACATCTGGGTTCGAATCCAAACACCAAACTGAAATACCCTAATATTATCGATCGCCCTCGACAATTTGGGACGTTTGCCACCAGTTCGTCGTGCTCCGGCGTCCGACCCATTGAATATACCTCCTGGAGTGAGTACGCGAACAACTCATCACAACACTACACCGTAGTTCTCCACCAGAAGACCCAAAAACGTGTCCCAGGCGCTGCCAATTGAAATGGCTTTCTTCTTTGATGTACCCGCGAAGATTTGCATCTTTTGGGGACGGCTGCAGTGGTTATTCAATCAACTGCCATCACACTAGACACCCCGTGAGGATGATGCGTACTGCGGAATTACAGGAAAGACCGAGTACGTGTTGGAGTCCATGCCAACTGCAAAGGGCAACAAAAACCATGATCGTGCGCCTGAGTGTCCCAAACATGTAATACTATCAGGTTGAAACAGCCGGACGCCAAGTGTGGAAAAAGGCTCGTATGACCCGACTTTCGGTGCACATCAGCATCAACTGATGAAGTAAGCAGTATGACACCGACACAGCAATCGGGAAAATTTGAATATTTTTATTGGGCCTTCCTAAAGATTCCGAAAGACGACACGCACGTCGTTCACACGTCCAGCCCCACCAATAGGTTTCTCGCGCTCAACCCTACCACACAGCAACCCAGTGCTTTACCACGCACTGTACACCCCAACTCATGACCGATCCAAGAGATCGCGGCAACAACCGCCGTCGAGACGACACAAACACAAGGAACCGCCGGTACCGAGTTGTCAACGCCACCGACATAAACACGCGTCGAGGGGCTCAGCGTGCTGCCTCCGCCGATGCCCTCAACGCCCATCGTAGAGCACAATGTTCCGCGTCGGCAGAGGCCATCAACAGCCGTCGTAGAACTCGCCATGCCGACAGAGCACAACAGCTCAACGCCGCACGTCGACGGCGTAGAGCGACCGTCATCAACAACAAAAGGGGGTTGCCCTTCAACGACATCTTTCACGCCGAGGACGACTCCACCTCACTACGAGCCATTGTTGGAGACCGCCAGCGAGCCTTGGAGGAGGCGCGACGAGACCAGGGCATCACAGCGCAGACCGGAGATCCTTGCCGGCATTGTGGCGCCAAACTGTTCGCTAAAGAGTCCAAGGGCATTTGTTGCAAGAATGGGAAGTACATCCTCCCGCGACTGCCGCCACTACCCCCGTCATTGAAAGAATTGTACGATTCTCCGGAGCCATCAGCGCAGAGGTTCAGGAAGGAATCGAGGATGTATAACTGCCGATGCAACTTCGCCTCGCTCAACGTGGAGGATGGTGAACTCAAAAAAATGTTCGGTGACCATCTCTTATCCGTCCAAGGGAGGTGAGATCGATTCACATGTGCAACGATATATGCTACAATGGTATAATGAGGTATAGATTCATTCGTGTGGTCTTTCATTTCTATTTTCCTTCATGGTTTAAAACACGTTTGATTCGTTCGATAGCATATAATTGAGTGTAGGTTAGTTCGTGTGATCTTTCGTATATATCTTTATTCGTGTTACAAAATACAATACATCCATATAAAAGCGTATTTTCGTCTTTTCTTCTGTACGACGCAATACCCGTACACCTTCCGATACAAAAAACAATGTCACTAACATCAACAATAATTTCCCTCCTCCGTTCATATTCCATTCACACACCGCATCACAAGTTCGTACATCTTGCGCTCTCCCCCATGTACACCGTTCCTGCCCATCTCTTTGGCCAGAACTTACCATTCTGTTCGAGACGGCGGCCATTCCAACGTTCAATGGCTCCTACATGACCCCAACTTCGTCTCTAGCCACCTCGACAAAGGGACCATGACGACGATACTGCGCGATTTGCGATCCACATCACCCTATGTCGGACGCCTCAAAGCCGCCATGAGCACTCGGTGGGCGCCTACCGTCACGACCTATACTTAAAGTTAGACTACAGCAAAATATTCGAGTATCAGTTGGCTCTGTTAGACATGTCGAACGTGCTTCCTGCTGCCAACATCCCCACATACCACTTCGTATCCATATTGTGCATATGTTTCTATGATATGTTGGGTACCTTTCTTGTCGGCAATCTCCATCATAATGTGCATAATGTGTACTTCGGTTTTTCGGCTTTACAATTTCCGATAGACCAGACTATGGACTCACACGTCCCTTCCCCCTCCGCAGGACCGCGCGCTCGTCGAGTGCCGAAAATTCTTCACTAATTCCTTACCTCTCCACTTCTTCCCCCTACAAATCCTCTACCCTTCTTCTTCTTCTTTGCTTCCCCACGGACACTCACTACCATCGGGCCGGGATGTTGGCCCCCAGGCCCATTGGGGGGCGGGGGGCCAATCCTTAACCCTAGTAGACTATGGCTATTGTTGGCAGAAAACGCTTTGGTTCCTCCTTACAAGTTACACCCCAATACTATTCGTCTACGTAGTTTATGGAGGCCACTAAAGGCCCCCCCGCCCATTGAAGCCCGAATGACACACAAGGTGAAGAGACAATCAGCGACCTTGATGATGCAGGGCTGGGCAAAGTTGACTGTATTCCTATATCTATGAGTGTGGAGAAAGCGCGCATTGCGAAGGTGTACCGATTCTGGTAAAAGTCAATCGACGGATACCCTGCGAATCGGGTCCTCCTTAACACGTGCATACTTGTGTTGACATGCTGTTGACATGTAGCAAGGCAAGTTCTTTCCGCTATGTTGCAGACGGTGTGTGTACTTCTTCACGGCTTGACGGCTTTGCGCATGCCTTGTATGGCTGGGTTAACGACATCTTGGAATCGTGTGTTGGCCACATGCAGAGCCCATACATGCAAAACGTGTTGAGGGTGTTGGCTGCTGTTAAAATTGTGGAGACAAAACCAGTTGTATGTGCTGCCAATCATGTGCTACTCCTGGGCTTCGGTGCTGGTGTGTACACGCGGCTGTCATGCACGTCCCACGGGTTGACCAAGCGCCATAGTCATGAACTCACCAACGCGCGACCTAACGTCCGAACCGCAACATATGTGAGACGTGCTTGAGCTAAGTAGGTTCCACACTGATCTGCCGCGTACCCACGCCACAAACGATATTTTTGCTGTATTTGCCGTGGTTGCCGCTTTGTGTACGTAAATCGTGCGCTACTCAAGACCGCATTGTTGTCTATAGTTCCTCACCACACTCATCCGATCACGACCAAACGCCTTGGCGGTGGGGGGCAGTCCAAGGCCGTCCCATTCAGGTGTGCGGCGTGCGCACGAAGAAAAAAGAAAAAAAATCTCCACCTCCTCTATGTACAAGTAGTGCGACGTAAACCACTTCTTTGAGTATTTAACTTCGGGTGATCTGCTCTGGAACGGGTATTCTCACGGCCAATGACCCTACCGCTATCCCTGACCCCAAGCCCACACGATACCTGCTAGGTTGGGGCTGGGTGGCTAAGTTCTAGGTTGATGCCAGTGGCGAGTTCTAGGTTGATGCCAGTGGCGAGTTCTAGGTTGAAGTGCCCACGGCAGGCACTTCGTTGGCACTTCATGGGCCACCCGTGGGCATGCCCTTGACGGGTCACCCATGAGCAACCCATGGGCGGTTTGTCGAAAGTGTCAGTAGCGTGGGAGGTTGATCGTTTGCGACGTGTGCCAACCATTATCTGTCGGTTGCGCGTGGTTGAAAATGTGTGTTTCGCAGAAACAAATAAACACAGTGAAGGCCAGACAACGATGACCATGTCTGTCTGCAACTCTTGAACATGCTCTGACTCTCATGGCAATGGGTACCAAAAACGCTCCATACACACCGCGATCTGGTCGTCCTCCGATTCGAACACCAGGGCGTTCATGACGGTGACGAATTTCCCCATGGCAGTGCGGTTCGCAGTCGCTCGAAACAAAATGAAACCCATGCACATCGTTGCCCCCCACACCTTACCAACTTCTTTAGGTTTTTTTCCTCTGGATGCAACGATACTGCTGTCGATAACGCCAGGGAGCGAGAAGTCTTTCATGGGGTCCGCCAGCCACAGGGCATCTGCATCTGACATGATGACATCATGACCTGCTTCCGCCTGAGACGATCGGCGACGGGACGAGCGTAAGGAGTAGTCAAGACAGCAGTTGTAAAGGTGAATTTGCTGGTTACAATCATCTAGAGTCGCTCATTTGCTGTGTCGTCAACATCGTCGAGCGCCTCCGCTGTGAAACTGCTTTCTGCGCCATCATGCCATTGGTTCCTGGGCTGGTCGTCCTGTGGAAAACTTGATGCAGCCGCAAACGATTTTTTTGTGGAAATATCACACAGTTGGGTAAACAGTTTGTTCTCAACACCAAACGCACTTGCAATATCGACAGTGACGGTCAGTTTAGTCGCGTCTCTAGTTCATGTGATCTTGACAACATTCCATTTGTCAACGCCGAGCGGCCTGCTTACCAAGCAAGATACCACTCGGACCCGTAATACCCAGATTTGCTCGTGCGATGAAATGTTGAGTCCGCTGAGAGGAATGCAGTGGATCCCCATGAAAGATTCGAAGAAATGGAGAGAATCGTCATCCAAGCACATGAGGTAGAGGTGGTTGCGAGTGAAGGAAGTCCTGAGCTCCATCCAGTAGATAAAGTTGCGCTCCACTTCGATATACGCTCCGCTCACTACCTGGGCATGGACAGGCGCAAAATCGGACCGTTTGAATATTTTACATCATAGCAGGGTACTTACCTGTGGTCGATCTGTATCGTTTTCGGGCACGTGTTGCACTTGAACGGCTGCCGAAGACGTCTGCCGACGGACGCACTCTGATTGACTGCCAGCGGTGCCCGGTAAAGATACTTTACACTAACACCTATGCAGCGGACATTTGTAGCTAGCTCCCAAGAGAAACTTCAAGAAGCACCCCAGCCTCGGCCGAAATTTGAGATCGGAAGTACCGGGGATAACTGCGTCGCATGAGGACCACATCTCAGTTGCCTACACGTCTGATAGCTAGAATAGCTCTTTTAACGTTGACCGTACGACACAGGTATGGGGGTTCAACCACACTTTCTACAGTGTGTGTTCCCAAATGACCCATGGGACACCCACATGCGCATGCCCATGGGTAGCCCGTTAGCCCTGGCTTCGTACCTCCCGGCGGATTGCTCAGCATAATGGTCTAGTTCCAAGCCATCCGTTCTTGAACATATATAGGACAACTTCACAACTGACTATCATGCTGTCAACCTGGCGAGCCCGAGCAAGTCATTGTGGTTCCATCGTCTTAGTCACGATAGATTCTATGAAAGTATGGCTATGGATAAACCTTGCTAAAAACGTTACCCACCTGCATCACAACCGCGGGATCTGATTGGTCGGGGACCCACGCTGCCCAGTCAGCGCACACTGCTTCTGGTGAAATCACCGGCAGCGATTTCGAAGGTAACACTTCAAGATGCACGCTTTTCGCCATCGTTGCGTGAAAAAATGTCACCATCGCCATCGCCACCATTCCAGCCAATGAGTTGAATAACTCCATCGTGATGGCCAGCGTTACAGTCGCCCTATCGCGTCTTCTCGTCCGGCGACTTAGCCACGCAAGAAGGGGCAAGCGGACGGTATCGCAATTCAGTCTGAACAGGTATAATATGAGTGTCGGCGTGGTGACAGAAACTTGTGTTAACAACACATCTGTCTTGTTTGTGGCAGTGTTCGACAAAAAAACAATTACCGTCACATAATGCACATGTAAGTGTTTAGCATACTTCGCGGACTTGCGTGACAAATGTTGTTCTTGTTCCTGCTGTTGTTGTTGGTCTCGTGTCATGTTGTTGAACGATTTTTTCTAAGTTGCAGTTTACGATCTGAGGGCACCACGTCCGGTATATATGGCAACCTGTCAACACCTGTGATCGCCAAATACATGCTGTTGTAAACGTCGGTGCGTCAAATTGGCTGCTGTTACACCATTCCCCAACACGCCTCGCTCCGCGCTCATTCGTTACACACAAACAACTCTGCTGTACCAACACATGCGACGTGTCTTGCGGTCTCGACCGGCAGCAGCAGGTTTGCCGGCGCAGCGCAACATATGCAAGATACAAAATATGCGGTAAAGCCAAGCGGTGCAAGACGTCAGCAGTGTTCCCCGATACACATCCCCCGCTCTGATTCCTCACACACGGATGCCTATGTCGGCGGTCGGTT